ATGTCACCTCAATTAGATATATTTGTTCAGGTACACGAAGAAGTTCAAAAGTTAAATGATTCAATGGTAACTGGACATTACCTACCTGCAGTAAAGCCATAATGTTTGACGCCAGCATCAGAGACAAGTCGGTTTGTGGTACTATGGACTTTTAGAGACGAGTAACACAGTTTTCCAACATCGTCATAAAACACTCCCGAACACGTGACGTTCTGGTAGCAGTGGACAAGACAGTCGGCAACGTCGTTGACAATAGTAGCTGGACCAAGGTGGTCATCCACAGACATCCAGTTTGTCAACATCAGCACGACTCCTAGTCCAAACACTTCCATGTTACAGTGGAAGCTCGAGATCGAGTGCCTGTCCCGCATTTTATCTCATGGGATCAATACTCACAGCGGAGATGTTGAACACGGACGGATTATGTTAGAAACTTTATCATTAAAGGGAGCTAATGTGATACTCCACATTCGCTTGGCATTTTACACCATGCGTTGTTTGTGAGACCTCCGTGATATGACTCGATGGTCGCTAAGAGCGGCGTAAAACAACACTCGACGCACGATGATATTCAGTCTACTAAACCAACGATGGTGCCTATGTCGTTTGCTGCTTCATAGGTAACAATGGACCAAAACTGATACGGATTTCTCGCAGGATGTTGCTGTGGTGACGATGATAAAAGTGGAATAATCTCAAAGTTGAAATGTGTCTGTGTATTAGTTTGACGTGGGCCAGGAAAAACCGTGGCACAGAATGAGTGTATGAGTGAGTGAGTATGGTTTCACGCCGCTTTTAGCAATTCCAGCAATCCTAGAAACGGGCTTCACGCGTTGTACACATGTGGGGAATCGAATCCGGGCATTCGGCGTGACGAGCGAACGCTTTGGCCACAAGGCTACCACCGCTCCCCGTGGCAGACAGAACAAACTTCAACCCACATTCAAAGAACTATTATTAATGTCCGCGGAAACGGACATCGGGTTGCGTACAATGCAAAATATCGATAATAAGTGTATGAATTGTTACCAGTATATGAACTGAATCATTCTGCTTGAATCCCTTGAATGTTCAAATTAAGTATTCAGTACTATACAGGATACAGGGCCTTATTGTTTTAATTTCAGTATGTAGTAACTGTGCTCCAGATAATTGCTATGTTCCATTGTGTGTAAACATATAGTAGGGTGCTTAAAACGGAACCTTGTCTGGCACCTAGATTACAACGAAATGGTTTGACAAAAGGTTAATATTTCTGACACATTAACATTACCATATGGCTACTTTTACACTCGGGTTATCTGACACTGCTTTTCAAATACTTTCCACAGATAAAAAAGACGAACAGAATCAAAAGTTATATCCAACTTAGGACCAGACCTATGTAGATATCGTTACATGATAGCGTTTAAAAGAATTATATTGTCAACTGTCGATCATCGATCCCAGTCAGGTGTTTTTCAGAGCATTCATATCGGCACGATTTCATATTTTGTGATACCATGATGTCGTGGAGATTTTCTTGCTTTCTATTGTTTGGTTTTCAGCTTCGTCATTTAAAAATCAGAATCTACTTCAATTGCTGATTGATTAAATATATCTTCAGAATATCAAATCCATTGTTTTTTAATCTCTGGGATTATGGTTACTTTTTGTATTCTGCATTTCCTTAATATTCTTCCAAAATATCTTTGAGTCAGTAGTTAGGTTCACTGAGGTACGTTCATTGTTCACGCATTCACCTTGATTTCTTTTACATTCCTAGTTTGTTTCCAGAATCGTTAGAATTTCAGGCAATTCAGTTTTGTGTATGAACTCTTTCATCTTGTTATCCTACCTGGTGTATCAACAGGTGTCTACTGATTTTATGCAGAGCGTATTACATCAAGCGTTGCCATAGTTACATGTAGTGAACTACATTCTCACAGCGTCAAAATCATACAAGTATGTATGATCAAAAGATGTAGGACGATCATACAGCATAATAGATGATACTACCAACGTTAGCCCTGACAAAGTGTTTGAGCGCTGACATAAGTGTTTGATTGCCCGTACGTACTCAACCATGTGAATGACTAATACTTAACACAACTCATGTAGGCATTATCTTACCTCTTAGCTACTTTATCGCAGGAATATGTCATGAAAGGTTTGTGCTGAAAGAAAATGTTCAGTATGTTAAGTGCGGGCACATTAAATATGACCCGAGTGTTTGAGTGGGTAGTTGGTGGTAGAATATAGCTGGAGTAGTAATTGTTGAAGCATGAGAGTTCAACAGTAGCGTTTCTTTCAGTATAGCTGTACTTCCTCTTCTGTGTTGTTGTTGGGAGTGAGTGAGTTTGGTTTTACGCCGCACTCAGCAGTATTCCAGCTATATGGCGGCGGTCTGTAAATAATCGAGCCTGGACTAGACAATCCAGTGATCAACATCATGCGCATCGATCTGCGCAATTGGGATATGTGGCATATGTGTCAACCAAGTCAGCGAACTTGACCACCCGATCCCGTTAGTCGCCTCTTACGACCAGCATGGGTTGCTGAAGATCAATTCTAACCCGGATCTTCACGGGTCTGTTGTGTTTTGAAGACATACTGTGTAGATATACATTAGATAGAATTGCATAGAATGATGTTATACGTCGGTGATACCATGTCACCTTGTGAGAGGAAAATATTTCTGAAACATTTACAATGTATTTATACCTGCAAGTAAAGCGCCAAAATTCGTAATATTATCAATGAATAATTTTCATAATACATCCACGCTTAGAGCACAGTCAGTTGTACGACTCTGATTACATCATGAGTATGTGTTTGAATCACTATCACTTAGAGATGACACTAGATGTGACAAGGGCATCCGGCTCTGTATGGTTTTGTCACTTCATGTTTATTTTTGTGAATTCTTATGAATTTTTATTTTGCGGTGTAAAGTTTCTTTTGAGCACTAGTTTATTTTAAAACCAGAGGACTTCAAAATTATAACTTTGATAAATCGATGAATGTTATGGTGAGGTTACCACTGCAAATAACACATTTTAATCATGGAGACTTGAGGACTTTAAGACACGTTCTGCTGGCGATGTGCAACCAAGATGACTAGCCACTGGCCAATACATCACCCCGTACTATCACATGTTATTAGTCATCAGACCATATATGGTTGCACTTTAATGACATGCATGATCGATGCTCATGTTGTTGATCACTGGATTGTCTGGTCCAGACTCGATTATTTACAGACCGCCGCCATATAGCTGGAATATTGCTGAGTGCGGCGTAGAACTAACCTCACTCACTCACTACAAAACATTTATCCACTTTAGTATCACACAAACACGCATGCGTAAATTGGTAATAATGTTTTCAACATATAATATACCAACCAACCCAAATTTTAAAAAAGATATATGAGTCTATTGAAACAATACAACATATTAAATATACACGATCAAGCTCCATGCATACATACACCGCCCACATCCTCATACACTTCCATTCATATCACAGAAATCTTTAAACGTTTCAAAAGTCTGATCTGATACCGTTTTCCTTTCCATTAGCTGTAAACACACCCAATGGCACAGAGAGTTGTTTATTTGTACCCTTCGGCTGTCAATATGAAAAGACCGTGTTTGGATAATTGTAGCCAAAAAGCGAGACAAACATGCTATATATAAGGAGAAAATATTGAATGTTTATCTGCATGGACTAGTTTTGTGAACATACACTGATGAGGTTCTAGGGGCGTTGTTATCCTAACGTAATAGTATTGATTTGCTGTCTTGGTAGATACGTGTTGTTTATATTGTCGATACATAGACAATAATACAGGGCAGCATGGCCTGGGGATGGGCTCAACACACGAGTCTTGTCCCGAATGAGTGAGTGAGTATGTTTTTACGCCGCTTTTAGCAATACGCCAGCAATATCACGGCGGGGGACACCAGAAATGGGCTTCACACATTGTATCCATGTGGGAATCGAACCCGGGTCTTCGGCGTGACGAGCGAACGCTGTCACCATGAGACAACCCAACCGCACCTTCATGTCCCGATAAAAACTATGTCCAGGGGCGGTATTCTTAAAAGGACTCAAGTCTAAAGATGATTTAAGTTCCAAATAAAAACTTAAGTTTTGACTTAAGACTTATGTTTTTTTCTTAGTCATATTCACAAAAAGCATTGGATTTATGTTTGTGTAATTTTCGACTTAAATCCTAAGCCTGCTTTTAGCTAGGCTTAACTCTATGTAACTTTTAAGTCAGTTGACAAAAATGGCTGCCAGATATGCCAGTAGAAGAATTTACCGTCCCAGAGGTAACCCTTTTGAGGACTAAGCTAAGTTTTGGAAGTCACTTTATGAATACGAACTTGAGTTTCTGACTTAGCTAAGTCAATTTTTAAAACCTTAACACAAAACTTAAGAAAAATCTAAGACTTTTTTTTTTTAGAATACCGCCCAAGGTTCTAAAGGAACTGATGTCTCGAGCTGTCATTATGCTCTAGTATCCTTCTCTACTGATTTGTTCGATTGTTGATTAATAACGCCGCACTCAGATCATGTCCAGTCTGGACCTGACAAGTGATTGACATCATGAGCATGGACCTAAGCAGTCTGGACACGATGACATGCATCAAAACGGTCGCCCGATCCCGTCAGTCGCCTCATACGACAAGCATTTATTGCTGACCACTGAAGAACCACAGAACGGTTTTGTTGCTTTGATGAAGTTAATATCGATTACCTTTGACATTTGCATTCCCCCCTCCCTCCCCCCTTCCCACACCCCTGTGTCTTTTCTTTGAAACTGAATCTCACTAAAACGTATACTCCGACGCAAATTTCTGGTTAACATCCGACTGTCCGGCGCTATGTCATGAACAAGAATGCCCTACGCTGGCGTTAATTTACGTAAACGTAAGCGACTGCAGTGTGCCTGACGACGCAGGCCGGGAAATCCCGAGACAAGATGAGATTTACAAATACAATTGTTGTGTTTATATTGCACAACCTTTAACAGTTACAAGATCAAACTCCTGTTTCAGCCAATGACTGGTCCCTGGCTCTGTGACTTGCAGGCGGCGAGGTCTGCGTTTGGTACCACGATGAAGCCGAAAGAACGAGGAGGGGATTGTCACTGACCCGGATGTGACTGTCTTTGGTTGTAGAGGTGGGATGACATTATTGGTATATGTTATGGCTTTACCATTCAATTCCACGACTCTGAAATATGAACTTACATGTGAGTGGGTGAGTTTAGGGCAGCATGGCCTGGGGGATGGGCTCAACACACGTGTCTTGTCCCGAATGAGTGAGTGAGTATGTTTTCACGCCGCTTTTAGCAATATTCCAGCAATATCATAGCGGGGGACAGCAGAAATGGGCTTCACACATTGTACCCATGTTGGGAATCGAACCCGGGTTTTCGGCGTGACGAGCGAACGCTTTAACCACTACGTTACCCCACCGCCCGAACTTACACGTAATGGCAACCGCACTCTTCTCTCTTTTCTCTCCAATCTCACGTGACAAATATGGTTTTGTTTTGTTGTTTTTTTATATTTAACGGCACATTCAGCTATATTCTAGATATATGGCAACGACCTTGAAATAATAGTGTCTGGACTAAAACATCCAATGACCAACAGCATAAGCACGGATCTACGCCATGGGAATACTATGACGCGTCAACCAAGTTATCGAGCCTGACCACCCGATCCCGTTAGTCGCCTCTTACGACAAGCATGGGTTACTGAAGATCAGTATCAACCTGGATCTTCACAGATAGGTAGAACGGTTGTCTGGCAATGGCTCGATTAACATATAATAAGAAAGAGCAAACGGTCAGAAATTGGCTTCAGTCGTGGCACCACTTACTTTGCCCTAAGGCTGCCACGTTGGGGTGTGAGCCAGAAGACATCCAGATGACCTTGACCCAGCATGTGAGGGAATCTCAGGACAGCCGAGTCGTTGTTAACGTTCATCGCATATACAGTGACGCTTCCGGGATTGTAGTGGTACATGCTAGGGGTGGAAAATGTCTTGAAGTCGAACTCCATTAACTCGATATGCTCTTTAAGACAATGTCACCTTCTAGACCGAACAACAGACCGAAAAGTACATCCTGAAATATCGGAATTCTAAAAAAAAATCGATATTCTTCAATGGATGTCCGGAACAAAATTGCTGTGGGTCTAAAAATAATTTACCTTTCAAAGAGTGAGCGAGTTAGGTTTTACGCCGCCATTAGCAATGTTCCAGCAATATCACAGCGGGGACATCAGAAATGGGCTTCACACATTGTACCCATGTGGGAATCGAACCCGGGCCTTCGGCGTGACGAGCGAACGCTTTAAACACTAGGCTACCCCATCGCCCCTGCCTTTCAAAGAAAATGATTGATGAGTCAATTATTATGGTTCTATATCACTACTCGGCATTACTCGGGTGACACGATGTTGTTTAAATGGTTTCATGCATTCAGGCCTTTTGATGTTTTTCACTGTACACATTTGCAATTAATTTTTTGCGGCAGAATTTAATGTTTTCGTGGTTCAATTGTAAATGAAATTCTCTGACACAAAATAACACCAAGGAGTGAATGGGTTCAAAATTAATGTCATATCGACTGACAGTATAAAAACATATTGATGATTCGTGAGACAGTATACACAGAGGATGTATGTTTTTTTGAAATGCCCACCTACTTTTTCATCTTAGTGCAGTGAGCGTACACCCGGACAAACTTGGAAGGAGATGTGACATCGAACACTTTATTTCCAACCAGACGCTTGTAGAGCAGGGTCAACCAGTAATCCTTAATAAACAGGAATAATGCTTAAGGCTCAATTTACATATTCAGGCTTATGGAATCCAAGAAGGGACATTGTCGCGTTGTTGCATTGTCACCCTCACAAAAACAAGCAAAAAGTGGCAATATTAACCAAAGGGCGTCAAGGCGACATATTTTGTCCTTGGAAATTGTCATTATGTCGCATTGATGAATACAAAATGTGTAATTCAAAGCGCAACATTGCGACAGTTGTCGCACTTTGGTTGATTTTACGACAACGCCACGATATCCTTTCTGGTATTCCATACAGGTGAGGCATGGACTCGGTCCACATGTACCAGATTACAGCGATAAAATATTTTCCTATGCATAAGAAATCTCTTCCAACTGTGGAGTGGATTGTATGATTCAGATCAAGACCAGATGTTATGGATCGCTATTTATATAGTAATGAGACCAGATGTTCGTGAAAAGATAAGCGTATCCGGTCCAATCAGAGCCACCTGTCAACAATGTCACAAACACATGCAAAGGCATGTAAGTCGTGATGTCAAAGAAACAGATCAATCAGACCTGCCGATTCGTATGAACCGATACTGGAGCCACAGTTGTCACCTCACGACCTACACTGCATAACAACCTTTTCTTGATGAACAACCGCCTCCGTGGTGTATTGGTTAGAGAGTCCGCCCGGAGAGCGGAGGGTCGCGTTTCGATCCCTGCGTCATACCAAAAGACGTTCAGATATGGTACTTGTTGGTCCCTGCCTGGCGCTCGGCGTTAATGGGTATAACGAGGACTGGTCGGCTCGGAGTCAGTATGATGTGTCTGGTGGGGTATTCATGCTTCACTACGGCATGGTATCTCAGTGGGCTAGCTCTATAAAACCAGCTTACGTCTGGGCTAGTACAAGCAGCGGCACATACACACGCATGCACGTCGTCATATGAGCGAAATAATCTGAAGTACAACGTTAAATCCCATTTCTCGTCACCTCACCTCTTCTTGTACAAGCGAACATACTAAGCCGATTGGTGACTGGCAACATTTGCTATTGAACCAACGACGGCCCTGAACTTGGTACTTTGGTTTGTCTGGTCCAGACTCGAGGCTGGAATAATTTTGACTGTAGCGTTCACAAATCATACTTACAGGGTTTGGGTCCATACTGGACTCCAGTACTCCATAGTTGCCGCCATAAAGAGACTGTCTCAAGACGCCTTTGATGCCATATCTGGCACAGACGCCAAGCTTGTCCAACCATCTTCAAAGAAAATCAAACTGCGGCTTCACCAAACTTCTGTTGAATTGATTTCCTAATTGAATTGTCATCAATGCTCACTTCGTCTCTAGTGATTCAGTTTCACGATTCACAGTCATTAAAATCAGGGTTTTTTTTTTCACACTGATTGAATACAAATCTGTAAAATCATGAAAATCAGATGAGATTTCACAACGAGGTCAAGGTGAATTCCTGAGACAGCTAGATGCCAGCTTTCTAAAACAATACGACTTAATTTCTCTCTTTACCAATTCCTTCGGAAATTACGATCTTGACAAAACAGAAACCGTAATATGACATAACACTATTCTCGGAGGTAGTTTTGATCGAAGACGTCATGGCATTCAGAAGACATGTAAAAGATCCACTTTAACAAGCGATTGTAGTTTCAAATTGCATTATGTACTGTAATATCTATCTACGTTTGATACTAGAGGACTTCTGCCTATCTCAAACACACAAAATGTTTCTTGTACATTTGCTTGTTGAAGTTTGTTGTGCATTTATTGCAGATTTCACATGTGTTCTATTTTTTTTGGGGGGGGGGTTGGGGGTTATCAAGATAAAGAGTCAAACAAAATGGGGATCGTGAGGCTAGAACATGGCAAACGCAATTTGCTTGAGGTTGATAAAAAATAAAACAGATAAAAAATAACACATAAAAACAGCTGCATTTGAATAATATTCTAGGTGAGGCCGACTACTTTTGTGACACCCCTCGTATACCTGTCACAAAGAACCGTCAACACTAAAAATATACTTTCTGAAAAAGTCGCATGAAGAATTGGTCCTCAACCCATAGTTGCGTTATGTTTGTTAAAAGAGGAGACAAATAGAATCGGGTGGTCACTCTCGTTGACTTGGTTGACACATTCCATCGTATCCCAGCAATTCAATCCTTAAGATGCCAATCACCCGACTCCCTGGTCCAGGCTATTCACAGACCACCGTCATACATTGCACAATGCTAAGTGCGGCTTTGGACAGCAAATAAACAAATATCCTCACAAAAACCCAGCTGCATAAGCATCCGAGAGGTGCAGGGCTCCTCCTGACCATGCGGTGGATGTCTCCCCCAGCCACAGAGGCCTGACTGGGTGATAGTCGTTGATGAGATCTACAGCGTGGATCATTCTGGAAGCCAGCTTATTGAGCCACCACAGGGACAGGAAGTCCCCCTCATGGGCAGTATGGCCGTTGAAATAATAGCTGTTGACAAATAGACACCGACACTGTCCACTGATGATAAATGATGTTTTGATGTTAAAGAAATTCTTTTAAAAAAGTACAGTAGCACTTGCAGCTCATGGCAATACTGTCGTTTACATTTCAGCAAGAACAGCTAAATGTATGCTACAAATGTTGATTGCTTTCAAATTACAATTCGAATATTTTCTGCATAAATACCACGGCCAATAAACTTGCTAAAATACACTGAAATCATAACAATTTAACAAAATGTGTCAAATTTGCACATGAGAGGAAATGTAAAATGCTGGTAACAGCGTAAGGTCAAATTTGAGTCAGACTCTTGAACAAGCAGGTTTTCAAATATGGCTGCTTGATCAGATTTGGATTGTTGGAAGAGCATGGGTGGCTTCACAGGAACAGGTTTTCGTGAGGGGTGGTGGGGTGGGGGTGGGGGGTGTGATGTTTACGAACTCCGATGGACAGACATGGTACAGCATTAGCTCTGTCTTTTAGTGGGGAGAACAATATATAAAAATTCGAAATTTAGAGTTTTTGAAATAACGGGAAAACGTACTGATGAATTGTGAGGACATCAACAGCTGAAGCTCCACCATGGCTGAGGAACCTGTACAAAAGTGTATATTGTTATCATGAAATATGGAACACCCAAAGCATCAGGCCTTCCCTTGTCAACTAAAGCAACAAGATTACCCTTTGCATCAAAGCAACACACCTCCCCTTTGAGGATATTCACGCGCACCAGTAAGATGTTAACAGACCAATCTTCGCTTTTAACCAATTTCAGAGGCCCATGACACGACAGAAAGAACAAATTCTCATCTGCACTGACTGACCTAAACCCGTGACCAATTGGAAACGTTCTATGTATATAGTAGCGCTACTATACCGCCATCTACAAAAAGAAAGTTAGTGGTGAGGTAGTTTTAACGCTGCCTGGAGCAGTATCCCAGGTATATCAAGGCTTTTCAGCTTAATTGCGAGAGATAAGTGATGCTGTTCTTGGACGTCATCCCATTTGGTGAGACCCATCAGCACCATTACAAATATGATTTATTCCAACACAACCTTGTCTCGTGCATTCTACCTACTCTCGCATCATTGGATCCCGGTATCCGTCAAGGGGGGTCATATCTGGACCAATAAGGAGGCTGGCTTTATAAGGGGATTTGTCCAGAATCTGTCGGAGTTCCGTGAAATCAGCGCCCATCATTGCCCCCGTGACATTTATCCGTCCATTCCGTACATACAGGTCCGGCTCTGTGGAGGGACGGGTCCAGATAAGAACGATAGATACTGATAAAAACTGTTGGTACAAAGCTGTGACGTATGATTGGCATTGTGGGAATAATGATTGAGCATTTCATTGGGGATGGGACCGATGAGTAATGATTTTGAGATGAACGTATTGGAAGCTTTCAAGCTTAGAGCAATGAAAGAGTTCACATCTTTAGCAGCATTCTGGGTCCGTTGTCCATGTTTAGAAACACTAGGGGAATTGGGTCTATCATACTTTCTATCATGTCATAACCAGCAGTTGTGTGAGTGGAGCGGAGTGGAGTGGAGCGGAGTGGAAAGGATTTATGTTACGCCGCACTTAGCAATATTCTAGCTACATGTATATGAAGGCGGTCTGTAAATAATCGAGTCTGGACCAGACAATCCAGTGATCAACAGCATGAGCATCGATCTACGCAATTTGGAAACCATGACATGTGTCAAGCCAGTCAGCGAGCCTGACCACCCGATCCCGTTAGTCGCCGCTTACGACAAGCACGGGTTACTGAAGATCAATTCTAACCCGGGTCAGCACTTGTGTGAAGAACGCTTTCTTCACACAAGATCATAAGCGTAGTCCTATCAGTGAAGTTCCATCACTGTCTCTTCTTTATGGACTTTTTTTTACATAATTCAAGTAAATTATGTCACCGTCAAACCATTTAATACAGTGTGTGTATTCCTCCATAGGACTCCAACAATTACTTTCTGTGACCGGAAGTCTCGGGAATGTCATATCAAGAGGTGATTCAATTAATCTGGTCGTCAGATTCGATGACGGTATTGTGTGTCATCGTAAACGTAGTGCTCATGATATTCATCACTTGTTTGCCTAGCCTTTTTACAGGAACAACCGTGCAGACTTCGGGTTTAAGCAACAGATGACACATTAGCATGTGGGTTTAAGCAACAGATGACTCATTAGCATAATGCAAGTAGGTGAATACCGAATTTACTTGAACAGCTTATATTATGTATATATGAGTTCCTACCATTTCCAAGCTCCCAGCCGGCGATGTCGTAATGCTTCTGAGACGAGTAGTTCATCAGCAGCTCGGCATTCGTAGGATCCCACAGGTCATTGTTCCGTAGAAGGGCATTGAAGGCAAATATCAACTTCAGTCCAGCATGCTGTATAAAGTCGTTGAGCTCTTTCCACCGCGTAGCTATAAATAGTCACAAATGGGTGAGGTGAGGTGAGGTGAGGTGAGGTGAAATAGGTTTAACGTTGTACTTAAGAATATTTCGCTCATATGACGACGTGCATGCGTGTGTATGTGTATGTGCGGCTGCTTGTACTAGCCCAGTCTGAAGCTGGTTTTATAGTACTAGCCCACTGAGATACCATGCCGCAGTGAAGCATGAATACCCCACACAGACACATTATACTGACTCCGAGCCGACCAGTCCTTGTTATACCCATTAATGCCGAGCGCCAGGCAGGGACCAACAAGTACCATATTTACGTCTTTTGAAATGACGCAGACAAGGATCGAACCCGCGACCTTCCGCTCTCAGGGAGTCCCAGATGAAGCAACTGCAGATATTTGTAACACCATTTACTACTTATGGTGAGTGAGTGAGTGATTGAATGTTTTACGCCGCTTTTAGCAATATTCCATCAATAACGTGGCGGGGAACACCAGATATGTCCTGCAAGACCGGCCTTGTGGGGAATCGAACCCGGACCGACGAGCGAACACTTTAACCATAGCTGCGGTATCAACCGAATGTGGTTTAAAGGAACAAACATACATTGAAAAAATAAATGCAATCATAGCATTTGAGTGTAAAGGTTGAGAAGTTAAATGAACTTACGAGTGAGTTTAAATGGTTGTCCAAGGGGAGGCACGTGCGTTACTGGACCGGCATTAGGGTCAAACACTAGGCTCTCTGCTAGTGATCCCCCCACTCGAATATAACAGGGAGCCATGGCCTTCATCAGGTTCAAGGCTTTCGGGGAACTGTTGAACAATAAGGATTAACAGGGAAACATTTCTTTCATCAGGTTCAAGGCTTTCGGGGAACTGTTGAACAATAAGGATTAACAGGGAAACATTTCTTTCATCAGGTTCAAGGCTTTCGGGGAGCTGATGAACAATAAGGATTAACAGGGAAACATTTCTTTCATCAGGTTCAAGGCTCTCAGGGAGCTGATGAATGATAAGGATTAACAGGGAAACATTTCTTTCATCAGGTTCAAGGCTTTCGGGGAACTGTTGAACAATAAGGATTAACAGGGAGCCATTTCTTTCATCAGGCTCAAGGCTCTCGGGGAACTGTTGAACAATAAGGATTAACAGGGAAACATTTCTTTCATCAGGTTCAAGGCTTTCGGGGAGCTGATGAACAATAAGGATTAACAGGGAAACATTTCTTTCATCAGGTTCAAGGCTCTCGGGGAGCTGATGAACAATAAGGATATAACAGGGAGACATTTCTTTCATCAGGTTCAAGGCTCTCGGGGAGCTGATGAACAATAAGGATTAACAGGGAATTATTTCTTTCATCAGGTTCAAGGCTCTCGGGGAGCTGATGAACAATAAGGATTAACAGGGAGCCATTTCTTTCATCAGGTTCAAGGCTCTCGGGGAGCTGATGAACAATAAGGATTAACAGGGAGCCATTTCTTTCATCAGGTTCAAGGCTCTCGGGGAGCTGATGGACAATAAGGATTAACAGGGAGCCATTTCTTTCATCAGGTTCAAGGCTCTCGGGGAGCTGATGAACAATAAGGATTAACAGGGAGACATTTCTTTCATCAGATTCAAGGCTCTCGGGGAGCTGATGAACAATAAGGATATAACAGGGAGACATTTCTTTCATCAGGTTCAAGGCTCTCGGGGAGCTGATGAACAATAAGGATTAACAGGGAATTATTTCTTTCATCAGGTTCAAGGCTCTCGGGGAGCTGATGAACAATAAGGATTAACAGGGAGCCATTTCTTTCATCAGGTTCAAGGCTCTCGGGGAGCTGATGAACAATAAGGATATAACAGGGAGACATTTCTTTCATCAGGTTCAAGGCTTTCGGGGAGCTGATGAACAATAAGGATTAACAGGGAGACATTTCTTTCATCAGGTTCAAGGCTTTCGGGGAACTGTTGAACAATAAGGATATAACAGGGAAACATTTCTTTCATCAGGTTCAAGGCTTTCGGGGAGCTGATGAACAATAAGGATTAACAGGGAAACATTTCTTTCATCAGGTTCAAGGCTCTCGGGGAGCTGATGAACAATAAGGATATAACAGGGAGACATTTCTTTCATCAGGTTCAAGGCTTTCGGGGAGCTGATGAACGGTAAGGATATAACAGGGAGCCATTTCTTTCATCAGGTTCAAGGCTCTCGGGGAGCTGATGAACAATAAGGATTAACAGGGAATTATTTCTTTCATCAGGTTCAAGGCTCTCGGGGAACTGTTGAACAATAAGGATATAACAGGGAATTATTTCTTTCATCAGGTTCAAGGCTTTCGGGGAACTGTTGAACAATAAGGATATAACAGGGAAACATTTCTTTCATCAGGTTCAAGGCTTTCGGGGAGCTGATGAACAATAAGGATTAACAGGGAGACATTTCTTTCATCAGGTTCAAGGCTTTCGGGGAACTGTTGAACAATAAGGATATAACAGGGAAACATTTCTTTCATCAGGTTCAAGGCTTTCGGGGAGCTGATGAACAATAAGGATTAACAGGGAAACATTTCTTTCATCAGGTTCAAGGCTTTCGGGGAGCTGATGAACAATAAGGATTAACAGGGAGACATTTCTTTCATCAGGTTCAAGGCTTTCGGGGAGCTGTTGAACAATAAGGATATAACAGGGAGCCATTTCTTTCATCAGGTTCAAGGCTCTCGGGAAGCTGATGAACGATAAGGATTAACAGGGAGACATTTCTTTCATCAGGTTCAAGGCTTTCGGGGAGCTGATGAACGATAAGGATTAACAGGGAACCATTTCTTTCATCAGGTTCAAGGCTCTCGGGGAGCTGATGAACAATAAGGATATAACAGGGAAACATTTCTTTCATCAGGTTTCATCAGGGGAGCTGATAAGCAATTGGCATTAGTTTAAACACTGCTTAAAATGGTATTACACATTATATCATAACAATAAAATACATGTGGGAGAAATACCACGCCTGTCATACATTAATTATGCATCAATTATTAATTAAAAAAGAGGATATACTCTGAAAATTACTTACGATTACAAAAATGTAGGGAGTAATTAGTTTCTTGTAATCGTTGTATGCTTATGATAAACAAATAGAGAAATCAGTGAAGTGATGAAGCATGACAGTAGATGACCGACCACAGGGGTAAGATTTCAGAGTTGTAGTGCATAATACGGCAGCGATTTGTGAGACATTCACTCATTTGACAAGGCATACAAAGTATGAGGCGTCGATTGGCGGGTTGAGGAGCGTGTCCACTCCTCTGCAGTTGAGCCAACGTTGTCGGCGGCCATGACGTTAACGCACGTCGACCAATCATATCCCATGTTTTCCTTTAATTGCTATCAAGTAGTTTTAAATTGTATCTGTGGTATTCTAGTTTTTTCCACTGTAACACTGTCCATCCATGACAGGCTTTAAAAGGATTTAGTATTTATATTCAAATTCTCGTCACGATATTGCTGAAATATTGCCCTTGTGACGTAAAATTTTAACTCACTCGCTCATATCCTATGTTCAATGGGGGGAAGGTCTGGGCTCATTGCTGGCCCAAGGAGGTATGTGAGTGAGTGAGTGAGTTTAGTTTTACGACGCACTCAGCAATATCCCAGCTATATGGCGGCAGTCGGTAAATAATCGAGTCTGGACCAGACAATCCGGTCATCAACAGCATGAGCATCGATCTACGCAACTGGGATACGATGACATGTGTCAACCAAGTCAGCGAGCCTGACCACCCGATCCCGTTAGTCGCCTCTTACGACAAGCATGAGTGACTGAAGATCAATATTCTAACCCGGACCTTTACGGGTCAAGGAGGTAAGCACTGACGATTCGAGCATTGTGAGATCGAGCGTTGTCGTCCTTATAGACAAACCGTCGACCAACACGTCTTGCTAGAGGACAGGGGACGTCACTATGTCGTCCCGATCAACGCTTACCTGAAGTTGAATTGCCCCCATCCAACCCGAAGTAAGTACGTGTCCAACGTGAACCCGACAAACATATCATCAATTTCTTGCATGACCTTGTTCGTCTTCACCAATATGTTTTCTGTCGATAAAGAACTTGCCATTGATGACATCATTAACAGAAGTGCAAATGTTACTCTCGCCATGGTGCCAAGCTGTTGGTACGAGAACTAGGTCCTTTGTGAAACTCCTTTATACAGTTCATAATCTTATCACAGCTTTTACGTGTTTTCAAGGTGTGTAGTTGCTATATCTGTGTTACAAATGTAGGGTTGATAAGCCCATATATGTCGGTTATTGTTTATAAAACTATCTTATCATTATCAATATGCGTGGACAATTGCGACATGGATTGAAAGTAGACTAGATCCTGTGACAATCTCTGTCTGAAAGTTGGTACTTTGCAATTATAAGTTATGGTCACTTCTCGAACATCATGGTTTATTCAAGTTGGAATTGTTGATATAACGATATTAAAAAACTAAACATAAGAATCATCAACATTACGATTTTTGTGTGTATTACGCATGTGTGTGCATGCTATAGACAATAGATGTATTACACCTGATAATCTATAATGGAGAACGTCCATGCAGGAAGCAAATGCACTGTAAGTCCCCATGGTCCCTAGTATAGTGATCTACCTTCACTTGTTATACCGTTGAACTTAGAAATAGTGTTTTATGGTTGTACGCTAGTTTTAAGTGTACATCTGTGATAGACTAGCTACTTTACTGTTCTTCGAAGACAGGTAAGTATATAAGTTTGTTTTTATTTCATGTATACATTTACAAATTTACAACATTCATAGTCACGATATGTCTGATATACTGTCGAGGTGACTTTTTAACTCACTCACTCACTCACTATAATGGAGAACAATACAACTTAAAAAGATGAATCCTATAAATTAAGATGATTGGAAATATGGTGATTCATGGCTCCGTAAAAGTTATTCAAAATCTTGGAACATGTTTGTCGGTGACTATTGAACCAAATCTGATGAGACTTTGTATAAATCTTTGCCATTATGGTTTTAAGGTTCCATTACAATTTCATAAATGGGATCGGGTGGTCAGACTCACTGACTTGGTTGACACAGGTTATCGTTTCCCAATTGCGTAGATCGATGCTCATGCTTTTGATCACTGGAATGTCTGGTCCAGACTCGATTATTTACGGACCGCCGCCAGACAGATGGAATATTGCTGAGTGCGGCGCAAAACGACAAACAAACACAACAAATTAACAAAGTGACCGCAGCTGTATACGACTATCATAATCTATGTGTAAACATTGGAGTAAGCTACGATTGCGTTGTGAAACAAACTCTGGCAGGCTTTATACACTGAGACAGTGGTTATGAGGAGAGTGTTGGTCTATGTGGAAGCTGAAGGCGGTGGGGTAGCCTAGTGGTTAAAGCGTTCGCTCGTCATGCCGAAGACCCGGGTTCGATTTCCCACATGGGTACAATGTGTGAAGCCTATTTCTAGTGTCCCCCCCCGTGATATTGCTGGAATATTCCTAAAAGATGCGTAAAATTAAACTCGGTCACTCACTCACTGTGTGGAGGCTAAATCTGCAATGACTTATAAAGTACAAACAGATTTTTGTAAAATCCATTTTCACCAAAAGAAATGTGTACATTTCTCTGTGCTCTGAAAGCAACTCCTCAGTGCGTCTAAGCAGAACAACAACTTATGATCAACGTTCATTTGCCTTTGGGACCGCCTCCGTGGTGTAGTGATTAGAGCGTCCGCCCGGAGAGCGGAAGGTCGCGGGTTCGATCCCCGACCGCGTCATACCAAAAGACGTTAAAAATGGTACTTGTTGGTCCCTGCCTGGCGCTCGGCATTATTGGGTACAACAAGGACTGGTCGGCTCACAGTCAGTATAATGTGTCTGAGTGGGGTATTCATGCTTCACTGCGGCATGGTATCTCAGTGGGCTAGCACTATAAAACCAGCTTCAGTCTGGGCTAGTACAAGCAACCGCACATACACATACACACGCATAAATATTCTCAAGCACAACGTTAAACCCAATTTCACCTCGCCTCATTTGCCGCCGCCTCATGTTCGAACTCTCTTCCTCAGTTGATCCGTTTCTCAGGAACTCTATCAATTTTCAAAACAAGCCATAAAACCCATGTTTTCAGACAAGCTTTTCTTCCCTGAGTCTTCTCTCAACTGTGCGCTTGAGCGTGCATTGAGCATAGAACTAGCGCTATACAAATGGACCGTTATGTTATGTTAAAATTGACAAAAGACACTCAAGTCTCAAGCAGAAACACTTGATTTTAAGCTTGTTACATATACATAATCGATCACTCGTCCATCGTTTATCTCACTCAAGTGATACAACCTCGACGAACCCATTGTATATATAAATAAAAATGTACATACTTTAGAAAAGATTAAGTGAGATGAAAGAAGATCCCATGACCTGTATCTTGGATACTCTGCATGTTTAAAACAACCAGCCTCATCGTATCGTATTTCCGCAGAGTACTCTCCGTTTAGTGTAAGTCGATGTCTAACAGTACTTGCTTCTATCGCATGCTAAGTGCCATATTCGAACATAAGAAGTTCGATCACTTAACATGAGATGATTTACAAAAAAGACACACCGTTCTATATCTGTTTGTCATGACAAATTGTACCATTTAAGGAGCCTTGTATCACACACATGTTTATTAAAACCACAGGCCAGTGTACGTTTCGTTGGCTCCTAAAAGAAATCTTAACCCCTGACTATTCTGAAATACTGACGAAACCATCTTGACCGGTCATTATGGTCACGGGTCAGCAGATTGTTTTGTCTATTGGTATCCTGTTGTCTTGTGTTCTGGGGCGCATCTTCGGCTCTGCTTCTCCTCACTACAAGAGGATCACAAGATGGATATCTCCATGGCTGATGCCACTGCATCACAGATTGGTGCAGGTGAGTATTTCATGCATGGTATGCATGTAGTGAAGCAGATTTGCGTCCCTTAGGCGCGCCAGAATCCTATGATGGGGCTTGGATCCCGATTGCCCGTTCTTGTGTAGTTGTTAGTTACTATGGAGACCGCCATGTTGAATATAAAATCTCGCCGACGAGATTTCGTGAGCCTGGCAATATAACACTTTCCAAACTACAACCTAACAGTTGGTTTGAAGTTTAACATAGTGCTCAGCGTAAATAATCGAGTCTGAACCAGACAATCCAGTGATCAACAGCATGAGCAACGATCTACGCAGCTGGGAAACGATGACCTGTGTCCACCAAGTCAGCGAGCCTGACCACCCGATCCCGTAAGTGCTTCTTACGACAAGCATGGGTTGCCGAAGAAGATCCGGGTTAGAAATTCGCAATTCTAGCCCCGGATCTTCACGGGTTTTCGTTCTTGGAGTTTTCACCGACGTGGTTAACGTTTGAGACCTCCATCGCCTGGGGCTTGCGTTCAACAAAGTTGTGATATTACTACAAGCAATCAGTAGTCCACCTTTATGACGACGATAGTCGAGTTCAAGATCCATGCCATGTGAGCAATCAACAATCAAACCCATTAAAACCCTTTTATTGCCACTATAGACTGACGAGGATCAATTTTACCTCCGGGTCCTTCCGGGGGAATTGTAAGAGATGTGTTAGATGGGTAACAAGTTGATAGGCCCTCAACTATGACATATATAATCCTGAAGTGTTATGATAAGGAGTTACGAAACATTTCCATCAAAGTCAGATATGAATACAGAAACAAGATCAAGCGACACCTTCCTGCCATTTGAAGTTGAGATGCCGATAAGTAACCTACATGTATACTGTTCAAGGCCACAAATGCATCTCATCATTCATTTGCCATTGTTATACACGTCCATAATAGCTTGCTAAATGTGGCTGGGTTTGACATTCTCTCATTGTAACTAACAGGATCAATGCAGATCAATGTCAGTACCTGTAAATACTCGAATGTGGACCAGGTTCATTGGTTGGTGAAAGCACCTGTCTACTGGGTACGGAGTGAGTGAGTGAGTGAGTAATACTATGATTTTACACCACTTTTAGCAATGTTCAAGCAATATCACCAGAAATGGGCTTCACACAGAACCAGGGTCTTTGGCGTGACGAGCGACCGCTTTAACCACTAGACTACCCCACCGCCCCCACTAAGTACGGCACGCACCCAACCTGGTTACACAAAGTGACTTAAGGGGAGCGAGTGAGTTTAGTTTCAGGCCACCTTTTAGCAATATTGCAGCAATATCAATACGAGGGACACCAGAAATACGCTTCACACATAGGTCACTGGAGCGGTAGGGTAGCCTAGTGGTCAAAGCGTTCGCTCGTCACGCGGAAAACCCGGGTTCGAATCCCGACATGGGTACAATGTGTGAAGCCCATTTGTGGTGTCCGCACTGGTCATTGCTGGAATATTGCTAAAAGCGGCGTAAAAAAGCATATTTACTCTCTCACTGACTTGTTCCAGACGGGTGTCACTGCTGACTAAAGATTAAGGTTGGGTATTGCAAGAAGTGTTTTTAACAAAAAAAACTACTTATATTCGAGTTAATGCTTGATTTTTAAAGCAAAAAAAATAAAAAATAAACAAATAAAATAAAATAAGAAAAAGAAAAGAACAAAATCACTATGCTTGATTAAGCTTAAATAAAAACTTTTCATCGTCCCGCTTGAGCATTTCACTTTAGCATTGCATATTTTACATACCACGTTACTCTTATCAATAGTTCCATCAACCGTGAACTTTTTCAATCCAAAATGCTGCGATACTGAAGCCTTTGGCCTGGCATTTCTCCAATTTGCAACAGATGCGTGACGTCCAGCGCGAAAAACGGAAATATCCGAAGATTTCCGAAAGTACGAAGTTTTCCGAATGCATGTCAAAATACCGGTTTTCGATCAGCGTATCGCAATACGTATCGTTTTCATGTCTGAACTGGTAAATACCGATAAACCGGTTATATTGCGCAGCCCTACTAAAGATACACATACAAAATAGGTCTTGGTAATGCTTCTGAGGTTATTCCTATAATGAATCTGTCCTGTGTTACCTGTTATACACGAATATCTGAATGTGTGTCAATGGAAGGACACCGGGTGTCGACCATTCACAACTACCGATGCTCAACTTGATGAGGTAAGATAGTCATCCGAAGATACAACCTCAATTTGTGATGTTAGTAGTTTAATAGGAGACATATCATCGTTCTTAGGGGACCAGATCTGTAAAGGTTGACAGTTACCAATGTTAAATGTCGAGGTCTTCCCTTAAGTGTCTTTGCCATTTTCACAAAAATGCCGTTTTGATGTAATTTTGGTTTTACATTGTAATTAATGTGATGGCTACTTATGTAAAATCTGCATAATTAGTTTCTTATCTGCATAATTAGTTTCTTATCTGCATAATTAGTTTCTTACGAGTTCTGAGGTATATGTCAGTAATAACACGTGAACGAATGAATATTATTTTATACCGCATCATCAATGTTTACATGTATTCGCCGCCAGTAACGTTAGCTTACTATATTTAGACATGACATATGACTGTGCGAAATAGTTTCTAAATTTTGCGAGCCAGTCGGGCGAGCTATGTCTGAAAGTTACTAGCCCACAAAATAATTCACTAGCTCAAAATTCGAATGTAGAAACTAAGCCAAAGATTACAAAAATAGTTGAGAATAAGATATTGTCTGCATGACACGGGTTACATCATTAACCTGCTAATATGATGAACATTTGTATCAGGCCATAATCTTGCATGATTTAAAATTGTGTTATAACAGTCGGAGAGAGTGATATATTTACAAAATGACCCCATGAAACTTCACTAGCCAGTCGGACCAGTCACTGTGGAGATTTACTGGCCCGACTAGATTTTTACTAGCCACGGCCCGGAGGCCCAGCGCCGGTTGTTATTGTATCGGGCCGGCAGTTTCAAATATATGCAGGCCCTTGTAGCCTTCAGTAATTTATCTGTGATTTTTCTTTCAACTGGAATCTTTCCCATGTTTTTTTAATTAACGTTCGGGAATCATCCATGATCCAACATGTTACGATAACTCACAGTCACTGTGTCACTTCCCGGTATTTCAGCGCTCTGCGCATAGGAATGTCAACACCAGTCTTTAACAATATAAAACTTCTCTCTGCGCAATAGGCTTCGCTACTTGATTTTGTAGAAACAGTGTGAAACTGTGTACAGTGTTGTCTATTTTTGGGGCCTGCAGATTTCATTCAGGGCCTGTAGATTTTAAAGCCTGCAGGCAGCAGCAGGCCACTGCGCTGGATATATGTATATGAGACAATTGAGGCTCGTGTAGAAACTGACTTGAAAATGACCGCACAATGATAGATTATTAACCCAACGACACAATGATATAAACCTCACATACCGTCAGGTCACAATGACACCAAGTCGGCTTGAATGATGTCCTGATCTATTTCTCCTCCTCGTAGGTCGATTACAGGTAATCTCTTTGGGGCACACAGCGTTTTACTGACATGTAGCTAAAGTTTAGTTCGAACATGTCCAGCTACATCATGAGTGATAATTCCGTCATCAAGGCCCTTTATTGAACCGGAAACATATACATGATAATAGATAATTAGTTTGGTCTACATATTCCCCCAAGAAGTGTCAGAGTTGCCTCCCCTGTTGTCCCCAGCTGGCAGGTGTGACTTTTGGACGTTCCGCTGACGCTGTACCAGACAGTGACGTTCTCCTTGACACCGCCAGTCAAGGTCAAGGCGACATCCGTGTCTATAGATATCTGAGTGAAGCGTTGCGGGGATACTGGCACCACCTTAGATGGCACTTCACCAAGCAGAACAACCTCGGGGCTGGAAATAGAAATACATTATACTATTAGGCTCTTTGGGATTTTGTGTAATATCTTCACAGAACTAAACTGAGGGGTGTAAACCATAGGCGGATCCAGACGGGTTTTTGTTTGTCCTGAAAGTTCATTAAATGACCATTGAGACTTTCGTGAAAATGAAGTGTGCACCCAAACACACCTTTCTCAAGATTGTGCACCCCTCCCCTGTATTACTGCTTAGTCAGCATTAAAAAAAATGCTTTCAGTTTTAGTAAATTTTAAATTAAAACCAAATTTATATTTTTTAAATGATACAGAACTGCTATCGGGAAAGTTAGACATCTCATCTATGAAAATCTATTAATTCCTTTTTCTTCGGCACACATGCCCATTTCAATATGCTCAAGGTAAGTGAAAATTACCCAGCAAAAGATAACTCGTTTTAAACTTTTGCATATGTTTACATGACGTAACAGTAATGTTGTGATGATCTCATCTTGTGCTTTCCTAGCGCCCCAACGGGGATTCCGATAAAACATAGGTCCCAAGAAGAAGTTGGTTGCACTTGTATAATGGTGGTCAGAGGCGATTTTGTGGGTTACAACTGGGCGGTACCTAGTGTTTCAAGCTTTGCTACTTTATTTCGAGAACCCGGGTTCAATTCCCTACACGGTTAAAATGTGTGAATCCAAGTCTTGGTGTCCCCCGCCGTGATATTGTTGGTCTCTGACCGGGACCTTTAGCGTGGTGGTTTAACCCAGCGATCCAGCTACGATATTGTTGATCTCTCACCGGGACCTTTAGCGTGGTGGTTTAACCCAGCGATCCAGCTACGATATTGTTGGTCTCTGACCGGGACATTTAGCGTGGCGGTTTAACCCAGCGATCCAGCTACGATATTGTTGGTCTCTGACCGGGACCTTTAGCGTGGTGGTTTAACCCAGCGACCCAGCTACACTTGTACTAACTTGTTCACGAGGACTGGAGATATGTAATACAGGCAGTAATGTTGTGTCGAGCAGGCCGGGATGGTTATAGGCTGTGTCTCGTTGAAATCCGTGAGCGACGTCCAGGACTGTGGTGTGTACACTTTTCCATACTGCAGCTGCAAATACACATTTCATTATCTACTGTATATTTTCTAAACATCAATATGGAATAACAGCACTTTTGTCTCCAACTAAATTACATACCCTGTAAATGTTTGTGTCAAAAACGAAGCACCGCTATGATAGCTGGATAGTATTCTATTTAAAACATTCCTTCAGAGGAAACAACAGACCTTATAGATTGTCACCAGGGTCATACCCGTGAAGATCTGGGTTAGAATTGTTCTTCAACAACCCATGCTTGTCGTAAGAGGCGACTAACGGGATCGGGTGGTCAGGCTCGCTGACTTGGTTGACACATTTCATCGGTTCCCAGTTTCGCAGATCGAATGTTCAAGTTGTTTATCACTGCAGTATTTACAGACCGCCGCCATATAGCTGGAATATTGCTGTGGGCGACGTTAAATGGAATGATGTTCAAGTTGTTTATCACTGAAGTATTTACAGACCGCCGCCATATAGCTGGAATATTGCTGTGGGCGACGTTAAATGGAATCATGTTCATGTTGTTTATCACTGCAGTATTTACAGACCGCCGCCATATAGCTGGAATATTGCTGTGTGCAACGTTAAATGGAATCATTTCATGTTGTTTATCACTGCAGTATTTACAGACCGCCGCCATATAGCTGGAATATTGCTGTGGGCGACGTTAAATGGAATCATGTCCATGTTGTTTATCACTGCAGTATTTACAGACCGCCGCCATATAGCTGGAATATTGCTGTGTACGACGTTGCGACGTTAAATGGAATCATGTCCATGTTGTTTTATCACTGCAGTATTTACAGACCGCTGCCATATAGCTGGAATATTGCTGTGTGCGACGTTAAATGGAATCATGTTCAAGTTGTTTATCACTGAAGTATTTACAGACCGCTGCCATATAGCTGGAATATTGCTGTGTGCGACGTTAAATGGATTCATGTTCAAGTTGTTTATCACTGCAGTATTTACAGACCGCCGCCATATAGCTGGAATATTGCTGTGTGCGACGTTAAATGGATTCATGTTCAAGCCACTTAAAACGTTCGAGGCGGTGGTATAGCCTAGTAGTTAAGCGTTCACTCGACACGCCGAAGACCTGGGTTCGATTCCCAACATTGGTACAATGTGTGAAGCCTCTATATGGTGTCCTCCGTCGTAATATTGGTGGAATATTGCTAAACACAGCCTAAAACCACTCACTCACTCTTTATGGACAAGACTCGCGTGTTGAACCCATCCTCCCGCACATGCTGCCCTGCCATTCACTCACTCATACAGCTCAGGGTTGATGCTACCAGTCGAAAGGTAGTTTCTTGTATTCTAATTAATATCATTGTTATGGTACTTTGTGTTTCGCATCAGGTACAAACAAAACAGCGCGTCGACACACAGCGTCAGTACTACCAGAGTCCTCGGAATAGGTGTTGGTTTAATCTTATTTTACGCCGCAAACTTTCACGGCGGCCAGTAAATAACTGGACCAGACATACCGGTGATTGATATCACGAGCAACGAACAGCATCGTCAAAGCAAAGCAATCAATTTACCCGCACCTGATCACCCAAGAACTGGACGCTCACAACCTGGATGTATTACAGGTGACCTCATCTTAGCCTATGTGGCGTTAAGTGGTCAGAGAGGAACTGACGGAGGACAATACCTTGTCTCCAAATGTGGCTTGAGAAGGTCTCAGGGAGAAGGTGTTTGTTGTCGCTGCTGCCAAGACGATGCCAAAGTAGAAGTTCTGAATGTTGGAATAAGTTGTCCAGACTTCACCCACAGGGCCAAGGGTTCCCCCAAGAGCAGACTGAACGAAATAGACAATTGGCAATTATATGTAATAATATTTTAGTGGATAGTGAGTGAAGCTGAAGTGGCCGTTGTCGACACAGGTACTACAGATATGTACCCCAGGTAGGTTTCTGTATACAGATATGTACCCCAGGTAGGTTTCTGTATACAGATATGTACCCCAGGTAGGTTTCTGTATACAGATATGTACCCCAGGTGGGTTTCTGTATACAGATATATGTACCAGGTAGGTTTCTGTATACAGATATGTACCCCAGGTAGGTTTCTGTATACGGAGATATGTACTAGTAAGTTTCTGTATACAGAAACGTACCCTTACCAAAATCAGAATACAGAAACGTACCCAAGGACAGTTCCATTCCAACTGCACTGTGCAGTTTTCTTGATCGGAACTGTCATGATGTTGTACTAGATGCATTTGATTGCGTTATATAAGAAACGACCATATTTCACAGTGTGCAATATCACTCGCAATCAGTTAAACGGGGCCAACTACATACGGTTTCGGTTTGGGGTTGCGGAAAATGAACTCGTCCGCCGTGTAGGGTACAGAGTACGTTTCTGTATTTTGATGTTGTTTAGGGTACATTTCTGTATACAGAAACCTAACTGGGGTACACATCTGTAGTAGCCGTGCCGACAACGACACCCTCAGCCTGAGTGAAGTAGATTTAACCGCTTAAACACCAGTGTTCGTCGGTTACATGTCAGCGTTCGAGCCCACCACGAGGAAAGGGTAGCTGACCACGATCGTGGTGAAGGTCTCGAAGGTCAAGACAACATGCAACTTGATTTGGAACTTTAGAATTCAATGAACATACAGGATGTCTACGAAGGCTATAACGTTAATGACCAACCTGAAGAATTTGAGCATCAATGGCCATAGCTGGTTTGGTTGGTTTTAATATCCTTCCATCTGAATCACAGCATCTGCAGCAAACATGCGCTGTATGTATAGAGGACTGAAGTTTATTCAATTATCGATGTTCCTGGAGTTAACAAAAGTATCTGTTCCCAGGTGTCACTCCCAAGGAATGCCTCTCGGTGAATTGCGATGCCCTTGGGAAATAGACGTCTCGTGGCCTTCATCATTTCGTGATAAACAGCAATGGCAATTAAGAAACAACAATGTTGCAATAAATGTACATATGACAATAAGGATGTAGTTTTAAGACATTGATAATACCAACCTAGTGAGAAGGCTGTTTATCACCAAACATACTGGATGTGATCATCTCAGGCTGGTAATATCACTTGGTTTGTAATGACATTCATTGATTGGTTTGTTTTTCAGCAATATTCCAGGTATATTGCGGCGGTCTGTAAATAATCGAGTCTGGGCCAGACAGTCCAGTGATCAACAGCATGCGCATCAATCTATGCAAATGGGATACGATGACATGTGTCAACCAAGTCAGCGAGCCTGACCACCCGATCCCGTTAGTCGCCTCTTACGACAAGCATGGGTTACTGAAGACCGATTCTAACCCGGATCTTCACGTGTTTGTAATTAAAAGACACACGAATGAAGGGATGATTCCACGTACGTTTCAATCAAGGACACATTCATGCCTGTCACAGAATCCCGGGCCCCAACCGCCTACCGCAGTGCTGAGAGTAGCCACCGTCAGATGGAGACCAGGGGGTTTGGCTCAGACTTGTCTGAAATATTCAGGATATCAACAGAATTCGTTTTTGTGGAATGGGACGTTCGATTAACGGGACATATTATATAATCCAACGTACTTTGGTTTTGTGTGTTTGTTTCACGCTACCTCCGCAATAGTCCAACTACATGATCCGTCTAATTCTAACCCGTAATATTAACGAGGTCAACGTTAACGTGGTAGTAAAGTTCAACTCAAGACACATCGTCAGTATTTCGTTACTATTAAATATGTATGCTTCAATTATATTCATTTCCACTATGTACAAACCTGTCAATAAAGGAAGAAATATACACGAGAAAATCACATACTTACTGAGCTAACTAGTATGCAAGTATAAATAGGTATCACTGTACCGAACAAATGATGATAACTTCTGAAGGTCACCAGCAACCTGAGGCAAGGATAAAAAGGACCATGGGACATTCGGTAACTATGGTACCTAACCCACCACCATCCTGCTGTATGGAGTTCATGGCGATTGGCATCAACAATGTAATAAACAATTATTGTATGATCAAAGTTACAGGACTCAGGTAACGCCGCACTCTGAAAAGATGTACCGTTACATAACCTCTGAGGGGTCAGTCGTTTTACACTACTTCAATCCCATTTGCGAATTTAACTACAAAGGCGAACAAAATCCCCGCTTTGTGTAATATTCATAATCATTATCTGTAGAAGGCAGGGTCCATAAAATACCAACTAGATCATGAACGGTGTTTGAACAAGAAGCTAGAGGATTTACTGTAAGAGTTCCTGGCTGGTTGGTAGTAGTCCAGAAGGTATCTTTAAACGGAGCAAGACCAATGGCATCTGCAAATATCGACGATATACCAATTTTCCAGTTGTCGTTACCGGGGCTGTAGTCGTCGCTGGAACGTGCCTATGTAGAAAAGGACAAAATCAGTGCACGTGGACTCGCCTTTTGGTGTGACTGGGGGTGGGGGTGTAGCCTAGTGGTTGTAGCGTTCACCCGTCACGCCAAAGACCGGTTTCCATTTCTCCATACGTACAACGTGTGAAGTCCATCTCTGTTATCCCGCCGTGACATGGCTGGAATATTGCTAAAATCGGCGTAAAGACATACTCGCTGTAGTTTGACTAACTTTTTCACCACCTGGGTCCTGGGCCTCGATTTTCGAAGCTCTCTGCAAAAAGA